GTATGACCTGAATGGATGGACTCAAAATGACCTGAATGGGTTGACACAGTATGGCATGAATGGATGAATGGTTGGACACAGTATGACCTGAATGGATGGACACAGTATGATTTGACTGGATGGACACAGTATGACCTGAATGGGTGGACACAGCATGGCCTGAATGGATGGACACAGTATGACCTGAATGGATGGACACAGTATGACCTGAATGGGTGGACACAGTATGACCTGAATGGGTGGACACAGTATGACCTGAAGGGGTGGAGACAGTATGACCTGAATGGATGGACACAGTATGACCTGAATGGATGGACACAGTATGACCTGAATGGATGGACACAGTATGACCTGAATGGGTTGACACAGTATGACCTGAATGGATGGACACAGTATGACCTGAATGGATGGACACAGTATGACCTGAATGGGTGGACACAGTATGACCTGAATGGGTGGACACAGTATGACCTGAAGGGGTGGAGACAGTATGACCTGAATGGATGGACACAGTATGACCTGAATGGATGGACACAGTATGACCTGAATGGATGGACTCAAAATGACCTGAATGGGTTGACACAGTATGGCATGAATGGATGAATGGTTGGACACAGTATGACCTGAATGGATGGACACAGTATGATTTGACTGGATGGACACAGTATGACCTGAATGGGTGGACACAGCATGGCCTGAATGGATGGACACAGTATGACCTGAATGGATGGACACAGTATGACCTGAATGGGTGGACACAGTATGACCTGAATGGGTGGACACAGTATGACCTGAAGGGGTGGAGACAGTATGACCTGAATGGATGGACACAGTATGACCTGAATGGATGGACACAGTATGACCTGAATGGATGGTCACAAAATGACCTGAATGGGTTGACACAGTATGACCTGAATGGGTGGACACAGAAGGACCTGAATGGGTGGACACAGTATGACCTGAATGGGCGGACACAGTATGACCTGAATGGTTGGACACAGTATGACCTGAATGGATGGACACAGTATGACCTGAATGGATGGACACAGTATGACCTGAATGGGTGGACACAGTATGACCTGACTGGATGGACACAGTATGACCTGAATGGATGGACACAGTATGACCTGAATGGATGGACACAGTATGACCTGAATGGGTGGACACAGGATGGCCTGACTGGATGGACACAGTATGACCTGAATGGGTGGACACAGTATGACCTGAATGGATGGACACAGTATGACCTGAATGGATGGACACAGTATGACCTGAATGGGTGGACACAGTATGACCTGAATGGATGGACACAGTATGACCTGAATGGGTGGACACAGTATGACCTGAATGGATGGACACAGTATGACCTGAATGGATGGACACAGTATGACCTGAATGGATGGACACAGTATGACCTGAATGGATGGACACAGTATGACCTGAATGGGTGGACACAGTATGACCTGACTGGATGGACACAGTATGACCTGAATGGGTCGACACAGTATGACCTGAATGGATGGACACAGTATGACCTGAATGGGTGGACACAGGATGGCCTGAATGGATGGACACAGTATGACCTGAATGGGTGGACACAGTATGACCTGAATGGATGGACACAGTATGACCTGAATGGATGGACACAGTATGACCTGAATGGGTGGACACAGTATGACCTGAATGGATGGACACAATATGACCTGAATGGGTGGACACAGTATGACCTGAATGGATGGACACAGTATGACCTGAATGGATGGACACAGTATGACCTGAATGGGTGGACACAGTATGACCTGACTGGATGGACACAGTATGACCTGAATGGATGGACACAGTATGACCTGAATGGGTGGACACAGTATGACCTGAATGGGTGGACACAGTATGACCTGAATGGGTGGACACAGTATGACCTGAATGGGTGGACACAGTATGACCTGAAGGGGTGGAGACAGTATGACCTGAATGGATGGACACAGTATGACCTGAATGGATGGACACAGTATGACCTGAATGGGTGGACACAAAATGACCTGAATGGGTTGACACAGTATGACCTGAATGGGTGGACACAGAAGGACCTGAATGGGTGGACACAGTATGACCTGACTGGATGGACACAGTATGACCTGAACGGGTGGACACAGTATGACCTGAATGGGTTGACACAGTATGACATGAATGGATGAATGGTTGGACACAGTATGACCTGACTGGATGGACACAGTATGATTTGACTGGATGGACACAGTATGACCTGAATGGGTGGACACAGCATGGCCTGAATGGATGGACACAGTATGACCTGAATGGATGGACTCAAAATGACCTGAATGGGTTGACACAGTATGGCATGAATGGATGAATGGTTGGACACAGTATGACCTGAATGGATGGACACAGTATGATTTGACTGGATGGACACAGTATGACCTGAATGGGTGGACACAGCATGGCCTGAATGGATGGACACAGTATGACCTGAATGGATGGACACAGTATGACCTGAATGGGTGGACACAGTATGACCTGAATGGGTGGACACAGTATGACCTGAAGGGGTGGAGACAGTATGACCTGAATGGATGGACACAGTATGACCTGAATGGATGGACACAGTATGACCTGAATGGATGGACACAGTATGACCTGAATGGGTTGACACAGTATGACCTGAATGGATGGACACAGTATGACCTGAATGGATGGACACAGTATGACCTGAATGGGTGGACACAGTATGACCTGAATGGGTGGACACAGTATGACCTGAAGGGTGGAGACAGTATGACCTGAATGGATGGACACAGTATGACCTGAATGGATGGACACAGTATGACCTGAATGGATGGACTCAAAATGACCTGAATGGGTTGACACAGTATGGCATGAATGGATGAATGGTTGGACACAGTATGACCTGAATGGATGGACACAGTATGATTTGACTGGATGGACACAGTATGACCTGAATGGGTGGACACAGCATGGCCTGAATGGATGGACACAGTATGACCTGAATGGATGGACACAGTATGACCTGAATGGGTGGACACAGTATGACCTGAATGGGTGGACACAGTATGACCTGAAGGGGTGGAGACAGTATGACCTGAATGGATGGACACAGTATGACCTGAATGGATGGACACAGTATGACCTGAATGGATGGTCACAAAATGACCTGAATGGGTTGACACAGTATGACCTGAATGGGTGGACACAGAAGGACCTGAATGGGTGGACACAGTATGACCTGAATGGGCGGACACAGTATGACCTGAATGGTTGGACACAGTATGACCTGAATGGGTGGACACATTATGACCTGAATGGATGGACACAGTATGACCTGAATGGATGGACACAGTATGACTTGACTGGATGTACACAGTATGACCTGACTGGATGGACACAGTATGACCTGAATGGTTGGACACAGTATGACCTGAATGGGTCGACACAGAAGGACCTGAATGGATGGACACAGTATGACCTAAATGGATGGACACAGTATGACCTGAATGGGTCGACACAGAAGAACCTGAATGGGTGGACACAGTATGACCTGAATGGATGGACACAGTATGACCTGAATGGGTGGACACAGTATGACATGAATGGATGGACACAGTATGACCTGACTGGATGGACACCGTATAACCTGAATGGATAGACACAGTATGACCTGACTGGATGGACACAGTATGACCTGAATGGGTGGAGACAGTATGACCTGAATGGGTCGACACAGTATGACCTGAATTGGTGGACACAGTATGACCTGAATGGATGGACACAGTATGACCTGAATGGATGGACACAGTATGACCTGAATGGATGGACACAGTATGACCTGAATGGATGGACACAGTATGACCTGAATGGATGGACACAGTATGACCTGAATGGATGGACACAGTATGACCTGAATGGGTGGACACAGTATGACCTGACTGGGTGGACACAGTATGACCTGAATGGGTCGACACAGTATGACCTGAATGGATGGACACAGTATGACCTGAATGGGTGGACACAGGATGGCCTGAATGGATGGACACAGTATGACCTGAATGGGTGGACACAGTATGACCTGAATGGATGGACACAGTATGACCTGAATGGGTGGACACAGTATGACCTGACTGGATGGACACAGTATGACCTGAATGGGTGGACACAGGATGGCCTGAATGGATGGACACAGTATGACCTGACTGGATGGACACAGTATGACCTGAATGGGTGGACACAGGATGGCCTGAATGGATGGACACAGTATGACCTGACTGGATGGACACAGTATGACCTGAATGGGTTGACACAGCATGGCCTGAATGGATGGACACAGTATGACCTGAATGGGTGGACACAGTATGACCTGAATGGATGGACACAGTATGACCTGAATGGATGGACACAGTATGACCTGAATGGGTGGACACAGTATGACCTGAATGGATGGACACAATATGACCTGAATGGGTGGACACAGTATGACCTGAATGGATGGACACAGTATGACCTGAATGGATGGACACAGTATGACCTGAATGGGTGGACACAGTATGACCTGACTGGATGGACACAGTATGACCTGAATGGATGGACACAGTATGACCTGAATGGGTGGACACAGTATGACCTGAATGGGTGGACACAGTATGACCTGAATGGATGGACACAGTATGACCTGACTGGATGGACACAGTATGACCTGAATGGGTGGACACAGTATGACCTGAATGGATGGACACAGTATGACCTGAATGGGTGGACACAGTATGACCTGAATGGGTGGACACAGTATGACCTGAATGGATGGACACAGTATGACCTGAATGGATGGAAACAGTATGACCTGAATGGGTGGACACAGTTGAACCTGACGGACCTCTGACAAGAAATGAAAATTAGATACATTTTCTCATGGTTCAGTGTAAGCATACAGTGCTGACATTTTGTCCCCATGACAGAGAGTTACTACTCACTGTGAGTCAGCCTTCGTGGTGAGTCTGTGACGCCCATCAGGTGGACGGCTGGTCTTGGCGGGTACTGAAACTAACATCAGGTACACTTGGTTAACTCCAGCAACAGTAGCAGCAACAACAATACCAGCAGCAACTACTCTCTCTACTCACAGGGCTGGCATCCCCATGTTATTGGATGTTGGCCTATTGCTGACAAATGCATCTCATTCGAGTTTACAGCTTCTCGCTTTCCAGACTTGATAGTCATTAGTATACATAGCATTCATACTATAACAACAATAGCAGCAACAACAACAGCATTACCTACAATAATATTATAGAGTAGAAGTGTGAGGATATATAATGTCAGACTTACTGCTGGAGGGTTGTTCTCGAGGTTGCGTCTGATGGCGGCTGGAAGGGAGAATGGACAACACTACATGGAGACTCCAGCCCTGAAACGTTACTCGTGCCTCTACCCTCCCCAACCCAACGCTACAAAAGAGGTGCAGATATCATCGGCATATTTCTCCCCACCGTCATACACTTATTTCACCTCTACTGTCTCCCCTACCTCACCTCTAACACCTTTCACTCACGAACTCACCGCTCAGCCACACTCGCCCATACACCAATACACACACACACTCGCCAACACACATCACTACACACACATTCACCGACACATCATTAGACACACACTCACCCACACATCACTAAACACATTCACAAACACATCACTAAACACAAATACACCCACACATCACTAAACACACTTCACCACACATCAGTAAACACACATTCACCCACACATCACTACACACACATTCACCCACACATCACTAAACACACACCACCACACACATCACTACACACACATTCACCCACACATCACTACACACACACTCACACACACATCACTACACACAAATTCACCCACACATCACTACAAACACATTCATCCACACATCACTACACACACACTCACACACATCACCAAACACAGTCACCCACACATCACTAAACACACACTCACACACACATCACTACACACACATTCACCCACACATCATTACACACACATCACTACACACATTTACACACGTATCACTAAACACATTCACCCACACATCACTACACATACACTCATACATACATCACTACACACACATTCACCCACACATCACTTAGCACATTCACCCACACATCACTACACACACATACGCCCACACATCACTAAACACACTTCACCACACATCACTACGCTCACATTCACCCACACATCACTACACACACATTCACCCACACATCACTAAACAGACACTCACACAGATCACTAAACACAGTCACCCACACATCACTACACACACATTCACCCACACATCACTACACACACTCAGACACATCACTACACACACACTCTCACACACACACACACACACATCACTAAACACATTCACCCACACATCACTAAACACACACCACCACACACATCACTAAACACACATTTACCCACACATCACCAAACACATTCACCAACACATCACTACACACACATTCACACACATCACTAAACACATTCACCCACACATCACTACACACACATTCACTCACACATCACTAAACACATTCACCCACACATCACTACACACATTCACCCACACATCACTACATACACACTCACACACATCACTACACACACATTCACCAACACATCACTATACACACATTCACCCACACATCACTACACACACATTCACCAACACATCACTATACACACATTCACCCACACATCACGACACACACATTCACACACATCACTAAACACACATTCACCCACACATCAGTAAACATATTCACCCACACATCACTAAACACATACACCCACACATCACTAAACGCACTCACTCACACATCATCACACACACATTCACCCACACATCACTACACACACATTCACATACACATCACTACACAAACATTCACCCACACATCACTACACACACATTCACCCACACATCACTAAACATATTCACCCACACATCACTACACACACATTCACACACATCACTAAACACACATTCACCCACACATCAGTAAACATATTCACCCACACATCACTAAACGCACTCACTCACACATCACTAAACGCACTCACTCACACATCATCACACACACATTCACCCACACATCACTACACACACATTCACATACACATCACTACACAAACATTCACCCACACATCACTACACACACATTCACCCACACATCAATAAATATATTCACCCACACATCACTACACACACATTCACCTACACATCAGTAAACATATTCACCCACACATCACTAAACACGCATTCACCCACACATCACTAAACATATACACCCACACATCACTAAACACGCATTCACCCACACATCACTAAACACCCATTCACCCACACCACTACAAATACAGTCACCCACACATCACTACTCACACATTCACCCACACATCATTTGACACACACAGTCACACACACCAGTACACACATTCACCACACACCACTACCCAATTCACCCACATATCACTACATACTCACACACACACTCACACACACATCACTACACATACACTCACGCATCACTACACATTCACCACACACCACTACACAATTCACCCACATGTCACTACACACTCACACACACTCACACACGTATCACTACACACACACATCACTACACATTCACCCAAGCACCGCTACACACACTACACACAGACATCACTGCATACACATAGTCATACACAAAACACTACACACTCACACACATACCACTACACACTCACTCACACACATATCACTAAACACACTCACATCACACATCAATTTACACACACACACTCACACACACAAATCACTACACACACTCACCCATGTTGCAGCTGCAGCGTCTGTTGTTACCTGGACGGGGAGACGGAACAGCGTGTGGGTTAATATCATCATAAAATGTAAGGAATCAATTTGAACACAAACATAAGTTTATATTTATCTTCGATCTTATTAAAGTTATAGTTGACTTACGTGCATTGCGTCTAATTCTTCCGTGTCGTCGGCTACCTGATCGAATATAAACAGAAACAACCTAATTCTGGAGAATCACAGTTGTGATGTTGCAGTAGTACTGGTAGTGGTAGTGGTAGTGGTAGTAGTAGCGGTAGTGGTTGTGCTAGTAGTTATAGTGGTATTTGTGGTGATGGTGATTGTATTTAAGAAGACATTTTCTAGCAGGGCCTCCTAGTGCGATGTTAAAGAATGTGAGTTAAGGTTAACTTTAGTAAACGTTTCTTCGTGAAAGAAGCCCCAAGTCTATATTATGACACAGTAGTTACTATAGGGTCTCTAAGAATAAATATGCACATTATATATTTGAAAATGAAAGGTTTGAAAATAGAAAGTTTATGAAGTGTTGTATATTTACCGCTTTCCCGAGCTCCAGAACTTCGTTTGTACAAATGTCGGTTCTCAAAGGCTGCTTGACCTGACTGGCCCACAGACTGGAATACAGATACAGACTGGAATACAGATACAGACTGGAATACAGATACAGACTGGAATACAGATACAGGCTGGAATACACATACAGGCTGGAATACAGATACAGACTGGAATACAGATACAGGCTGGAATACAGATACAGACTGGAATACAGATACAGGCTGGAATACAGATACAGGCTGGAATACAGATACAGGCTGGAATACAGATACAGGCTGGAATACAGATACAGGCTGGAATACAGATACAGACTGGAATACAGATACAGGCTGGAATACAGATACAGACTGGAATACAGATACAGGCTGGAATACAGATACAGGCTGGAATACAGATACAGGCTGGAATACAGATACAGGCTGGAATACAGATACAGGCTGGCATACAGATACAGGCTGGAATACAGATACAGGCTGGAATACAGATACAGACTGGAATACAGATACAGGCTGGAATACAGATACAGACTGGAATACAGATACAGGCTGGAATACAGATACAGGCTGGAATACAGATACAGGCTGGAATACAGATACAGACTGGAATACAGATACAGGCTGGAATACAGATATAGACTGGAATACAGATACAGGCTGGAATACAGATACAGACTGGAATACAGATACAGACTGGAATACAGATACAGGCTGGAATACAGATACAGGCTGGAATACAGATACAGAGTGGAATACAGATACAGACTGGAATACAGATACAGGCTGGAATACAGATACAGGCTGGAATACAGATACAGGCTGGAATACAGATACAGACTGGAATACAGATACAGGCTGGAATACAGATATAGACTGGAATACAGATACAGGCTGGAATACAGATACAGACTGGAATACAGATACAGACTGGAATACAGATACAGGCTGGAATACAGATACAGGCTGGAATACAGATACAGAGTGGAATACAGATACAGACTGGAATACAGATACAGGCTGGAATACAGATACAGACTGGAATACAGATACAGGCTGGAATACAGATACAGACTGGAATACAGATACAGACTGGAATACAGATACAGGCTGGAATACAGATACAGGCTGGAATACAGATACAGACTGGAATACAGATACAGGCTTGAATACAGATACAGACTGGAATACAGATACAGGCTGGAATACAGATACAGGCTGGAATACAGATACAGGCTGGAATACAGATACAGGCTGGAATACAGATACAGACTGGAATACAGATACAGGCTGGAATACAGATACAGCCTGGAATACAGATACAGGCTGGAATACAGATACAGACTGGAATACAGATACAGACTGGAATACAAATACAGACTGGAATACAGATACGGACTGGAATACAGATACAGGCTGGAATACAGATACAGACTGGAATACAGATACAGGCTGGAATACAGATACAGGCTGGAATACAGATACAGGCTTGAATACAGATACAGACTGGAATACAGATACAGACTGGAATACAGATACAGGCTGGAATACAGATACAGACTGGAATACAGATACAGGCTGGAATACAGATACAGACTGGAATACAGATACAGACTGGAATACAGATACAGACTGGAATACAGATACAGACTGGAATACAGATACAGACTGGAATACAGATACAGGCTGGAATACAGATACAGGCTGGAATACAGATACAGGCTGGAATACAGATACAGGCTGGAATACAGATACAGACTGGAATACAGATACAGAGTGGAATACAGATACAGGCTTGAATACAGATACAGACTGGAATACAGATACAGGCTGGAATACAGATACAGGCTGGAATACAGATACAGGCTGGAATACAGATACAGACTGGAATACAGATACAGGCTGGAATACAGATACTGACTGGAATACAGATACAGGCTGGCATACAGATACAGACTGGAATACAGATACAGGCTGGAATACAGATACAGGCTGGAATACAGATACAGGCTGGAATACAGATACAGACTGGAATACAGATACAGGCTGGAATACAGATACAGACTGGAATACAGATACAGGCTGGAATACAGATACAGGCTGGAATACAGATACAGGCTGGAATACAGATACAGGCTGGAATACAGATACATGACCGCATCATTTTCGTACATCCATCATTTGCAAAGTCAGCATAGATTCTTAAATTTGAAGGTATGGTATATATACATAGAAAAAAAATATTTCATAGCATCAATATTGTAACCAGACAATAGACGCGAAAATTGTTGCTTTGAAGGCTGTATTAGTTTTGGCTACGTATTCCTGTCTAATGTCCCTTAATGTACTATACGAACGTGGTATTCATCCTTTACATCTCCATATTTACATGATTTACATAATCTGTTAGAATAGTTAACTCCTTGCATTCTACCATGTTCTACTTCTAGAGGAAGAATACCGCAGCGAAAATTTAACCTGATGGAAACGATTATCATTATTAAACCTTTAGGGTTCAAATTCAAAGATACTCTTCAAATGGTTATAGTTCTGTAATTTGGACATACTATTAAAAGGGGTTTGTTATAAATCCATCTTTTATCATTTTGTTTAAACTGACCAAGAAATTACTCTGTATTTTCTACTCCTTGGTTTAACAACACAAACATACATCCTTGTGTATATAAATCATTTCTGTCTTACCTATGTTCTGGCATCCTCAAAATTGATAACTATTTATTTAATTACCCTTTGAAAAATTGTGTATAAGAATAAGGGCTAGCGTCCTCTTTCACCTCATACATCATATGTTGGAATACCATTATATTGGATTTATTCATTCTTACTTGTACATCAAATTCATCAGAGAAATCAAATAGAATATCTAACTACATTTATCAATATTTACACACATTAGTGATACAAAGTCATCAGCACAAAGAAGCAAGTACAATGTCACTATATAGGACATTAGTTTGTATCCCGTAACATGTGCATTATATACTGGCCACATAAAGAAACTGTGCACACAGAAAATATAAATATCGGCACACAGCGTATTTATACATAAATTCATTTGTGAACATAGCAAGTATTGGAGACAATCAAACGCTCATGCACGTGCCAGGCGACGTGACGTCATTGACGGTGGCCTAAGGCCTTGCAATGTGTTACTGCACGTGCAGCCCGTACAGATGCACACAACATGTGAAACTCTGAAATTGCTGTCACTGTCGAAAGCTTTTTCTTTGCTCATTCAAACGTTCACCAATTCACATGAGAAGTCACATGCACATCATGCCAAGATTAACATCTGCTCAACGTCATGAAGCCATTGGAATGGTTCGAGCAGGAATGAGCCAACAACAAGTGGCAGCACATTTCCAATGCCATCGTAAAACGATATCTGCATGGGTCAGGCGTTATCGAAACAGTAATGACGTCGCCGACCACCCACGTTCTGGGCGTTCCCGACGTAACGACGATAAGACAGGACAGATGGATTCGGGTGACTCATCTCAGATACAGGTTCCTGACAGCAGTGACCACGTCCCAGACCATTTCCCAGGCCTTCAATGTTCATTTGGTAGCCTCTATGCGTCGTCGTTGCACTGCTGTGCTTCACGCACATGGTGGTCATACCCGTTATTGATTTTGTGACTTCCTCGTGTGACCCCCTACTCGATTTTGAACTTCTGACGTCATCGTTACGGATATTGTTCATGTTATTTTGACATTTTCTTGTGGTCCGATACTTCAGCTTATAAAGTGTCTACATCATTTCGTTTTTGCTGTGTTGTATTCCAATTATGAAGGCATTTTCTGTGTGCACAGTTTCTCTATGTGGCCAGTATATAAATAGAGAACAACAATGGCCTCATAATATATCCTTGTCTGACGCCCATATGGCATTCAAAGAAGTCAAGAATACAAGTGATTGCTTCTGAAACAGACAAGTGCATCTGAGTACAGACTTCAAGAGTTCAAGAGAGTCCACAGCTTTGGACTTTACACCGGATCAAACGCTTTTCTAAAATCAGTCAACGCTGCGTGCATTCTACCTTTTTTCTTGCAAACGTGTTTTTCAATAACAGAGTTATAAATATCGTATCTATCGTTGAACAATCATGTTGGAAGCCTGCTTGCGATTCTACAATTTGGCAATACAGAAATATCCACATACGTATCATATTACATATAACTGATGTTAAAATCTGGTTAAAAAACTCATTATCAAAATACCCCTGTAGCTATTTGTGTCGACACCTTTGTCTACTGGAATTATGATAGATTGGAGTCAAGAATCGTATTAAATACATTCAATAACAATGGTGTAAGCAATTCAACGTCACGTGTAAATAATTCTGCAACCAATTCATCGAATGAATGGCCTTTCGGATCTCACCTTCAGTAATTTCTTTGTTCAAAAACAGAAACATCATCTACTTCTTGACTTTGAAGCGTCTCAGATGCCATTAATTCTACAACCAGCTCATCCTGACCAGGCGAGGTATACATCTTCATCGAACTAATGGCCTTTCTGATGTTACTTTCATTTGTTATCTATTTCCTCACTTCACAGACGGTTGGTTTTCACTGTCGTAAATTAATTCCCATTCTACGGCTTATAAAAATCATTTTTACATGTCACTAAATCAATATTATTTACACTTGTACTACGTTGTCGAGCCTTCGGAATCTTATTTATAGTAGGTTTGTGTCGGTAGGGACCGTATTACTTTCTCCGTGTGTCATGTTTTTATTTTGACGTTGTTTTGTTTACAAATCTTCATAAAGTGTCTTTTATCACTGTCGTCGTTTGACCTCTTAAGGATATGTAAACTAGGATATTTTATTCTTTTGGCAGATTCCCAATCATTATCAAACCAAACTGGTTGTCGCATGTTTCTTTGGAAGATTCTCATTTTCGTCCATTCCGCCGAATCTATCCTGAAGAGGTGTTTAAACGGCTGCTTACGTCTCTACATAAAATATACCCTCCATAAAAAGATAGGTGATATTGATATATAAAAGTTCAAATGATGTACCATGGTAGGTCTGATGTAGGATGGTAGGTCTGGTGTAGTATGGAAGGTCTGGAGTTGAATATGGTGGATCTACTGTAAGATGGTAGGTCTGGTGTAGGATGGTAGATCTGGTGTAGGATGGTAGATCTGGTGTAGAATATGGTGGATCTCATGAAGGATGGATAGGTCTGGTTGAGGATGATAGGTCTGGTGTAGGATGGTAGGTCTGTTGTAGAATATGGTAGATCTTGTGTAGGATGGGAGATCTGATGTAGGATTGTAGGTCTGGTGTAGAATATGGTAGCATTTCACGTAGGATGGTAGGTCCGATGTAGGATGGTAGATCTGATGTAAGATGGTAGGTCTGATGTAGGATTGTAGGTATGATGTAGGATGGTAGGTCTGATGTAGGATTGTAGATATGGTGTAGGATGGTAGATCTGGCATAGGATGGTAGGTCTGGTGTAGGATGATAGGTTTGATGTAGGAGGGTAGGTCTGATGTAGGGTGGTAGGTCTCATATAGGATGGTAGGTTTGGTGTAGGGGGGTAGGTCTGATGTAGGATGGTAGGTCTGGTGTTGGATGGTAGGTCTGATGTAAGAGGATAGGTCTGATGTAGGATGGCAGGTCTGGTGTAGGGTGGTAGGTCTGGTGTAGGGTGGTAGGTCTGATGTAGGAGGGTAGGTCTGATGTAGGATGGTAGGTCTGGTGTAGGGTGGTAGGTCTCATATAGGATGGTAGGTCTGATGTAGGATGGTAGGTCTGGCATAGGATGGTAGGTCTGGTGTAGGATGGTAGGTCTGATGTAGGAGGGTAGGTCTGATGTAGGATGGTAGGTCTGGTGTAGGGTGGTAGGTCTGGTGTAGGATGGTAGGTCTCATATAGGATGGTAGGTCTGGCATAGGATGGTAGGTCTCATATAGGATGGTAGGTCTGATGTAGGATGGTAGTTCTGTCATAGGCTGGTATGTCTGGTGTCTGATGGTAGGTCTGATGTAGGAGGGTAGGTCTGGTGTAGGGTGGAAGGTCTGGTGTAGGGTGGTAGGTCCCATATAGGATGGTAGGTCTGATGTAGTATGGTAGGTCTGGCATAGGATGGTAGGTCTGATGTAGGAGGGTAGGTCTGGTGTAGGATGGAGGTCTCATATTGGATGGTAGGTCTGGTGTAGGATGGTAGGTCAGGCCTGGATTTCTCGAAACAAACTTAAGTTTTTACTCAAATCTCAAACTTAGTTTCATAATTTGAAACAGCTGAATTTTTAACTCAACTGCATTTTCAAAATATAAAAGCCCAAACAACTTAAGTAATCTACCCACCAAACTCAAATTGTCTTCTATTGGTTTAATACCAATTTCAGTTCATTCTGTGGAATGCATTTTCCTGCGTTTTCTCAGATTTGAGTAAAAAATCGAACTTAAGTCAAAACTCAGACTTAAGTTTGTTTCGAGAAATCGGGGCCTGCTGTGGGGTGGTAGGTCTAGTGTAGGATGGTAGGTCTCATGTAGAATGGTAGGTCTGTTGTAGGTTGGTAGGTCTGGCGTAGACTGACATGCCTGATGCTGGATTGAAGGGACGTGTGAGGGGAAGATCCAATTCATTGTAGCTGGTATATTGAGGGGTAGTTCATATGTGAGTTGCTGTACACTAGCGTTGCTCTTAAATGACCATTAACTCGCGAAGAGTTCATCCAGCTGTGAAGTGTGTTATGAACATGCGCCTTCGCTTCAGCTGAAGCATGCAGTGTCAACATGGTAAAACTGTTGAAGAGTCATATAATCCACACGGCGCTCACAGTCTGGTTGACAGAGGCGATGAAAGGGAACCAGCGCCCCTTGAGTAGTGCAGCGAGACAGACACCCTGAACCCATTCTCAGACAGACGGGACCACATGCTGACAGTACAGATGTCGCAGACAAGCTGCGTCATGGCCATCCACGTGACCTACTTCAGCTGAACACCACGTGACCAACTGTTTGCAAACATACATACAGGAAACAAACTGGGGCGGAACTTGTCCTCAGTGAAGATATTTATATCCACGCCACTTAAATTAAAGTGTTTCCCGGTTTGTAACAGAGCAGGTTTTTCTTTTCTTCAATTTCAATTCAGTTTATTGTATTCTTAAAAACTAATGAAGCTCAGTAAACGCGAAAAATATGTGTATGAGGGACCGTTCTCAATTCATGCATTTTTTACATTTTATTTTATTTTATTTTTTTTATTTATTTTTATTTATTTTCATATATTTATATTTTTTTTGGGGGGGGAGGGGGGAGGTGTGATTATTTGAAAGAGCGGTCACCCATTTTGTCCTGAAGATGTAGGGGTATCATCCATTTTGTACATAAAAATATTAATAAGTATGCTAAAGTATTCACATTGCACATGATTTTCCATAAAACTCATCATCACCCCCCACCAGTTCGCCTGCCGCTCAATACAACCCAGCACAGTCTAAACAACACGCTAATTGAGACACACAGATATTTTGATAGAGGGCCAATAATATATCATGAAATACACAATGCCATTTTAGAAAGTTGTTAAATGTAACATATGTTATATATGGAATTACACTTTCTCACTAAAGTACAGATTCTAGTACTTTGGGGGGGGTTGAGTCCCATCCGGGATTCGAACACACACCCTCAGAGTCAGGCACCTAATCGACGCCACACTAAGTCAGACGCCTAGGCCGCTCAGCCACCGCGGCTTCCAATGGCATACAATGATATTGTACACAACTGTACAATATCTAATAATAGATTTACTGATGGATGTAATCATTTCTTATACTTGCAGCTTCAGACATATAGAGAGTACAGAAGATTCATCTTCATTAGGCTGCCTCGTCTCTTGCTGTTTAGTTAGGTTTCTGCTTTGGTTTTGTTTCTTGGTTTTGCTTTTAATCCAGCTGCTCTGATTAACAGTAAGCACACAACATCTGCGTTACGATTTGACCAAGATGCACTGCTTTTATTTTGCAACTGTCTTTATATGATCGTTTGTGTGGAGATTATTTGTGACAGTTTCCGGAGTGATATGTTCAAACCGATTACATAACAGGACAAATGTACCGGTATCAGTGAGATCACAAGGCTGACAAGAGACTGTCTGTCTAGGACAGATAATGATCTTCTGAAGTTCATCGACAGTTAAATTTTATCTCCGATGTCAGTGAGAGCCAAAAGGTATTTCATCTCCTATTTTTGTCACGAGGGACACACGCAGACCGGGGTTCGAACCCCGACGACGACTAAATGTTTTATTGAGTGGGCTACCAAACTGCATGTTGACGTCTTACATGTTCCACACAATAATCACACGACCTCTGCTGCGTGCATGTTTATTGATACTCGTTAATCCAACAGTCGCCATTTTACAGAGCTCTTTTCTCAACTACCATTAAGTTACTGCATGGTTTTCGATGCAGCCATAGTGTTTATAGTGACCATATACCAACAGGGACTTGTGTCGGCATTCGGGAACCTTGGATCAATCAATATGTTCTGATACTGCAAACTGTATTCTGATTATTGTTGTTGCACATGCTGACATTCGTCCGCATAATTTGTTTCATTTTCAACAGACCAGCTGTTTGAATAACTGACCTTATTATTACAATGTAAGTCTTGCCTGGGTCGAGTCGTACGAACAAAGGCCACACTTCCAAGCTATTCATCAAACTAAAACGTTTACTATTTCAACAAAGGCAATAGTAGCAAATAGCACTGTGTGATTTTGCATCATGCCATTATAATGCAAAAAATAAATTTGCAACAACTCCTAAAATAACTTTGCAAAAGAACTTTGTAAGCACTTCGCGAAATGTTACTGAAATTGTTATGTGAACAATAAATAGCATCTTTAACAATTAACACCTGTTCAAGGAAAATATACACAGCGGATATGTATACAGATTAATAAACATTATAGACACGATAAGGCTGGACATGTATGCTGTAAACATTATAGACATGATAAGGCTGGACATGTATGCTGTAAACATTAATAACTATATACACGAACAGTTCCAGGAAGAGCACGTACCTGTTCGTGTCTGGAGCTGACCCATGCATCGTTCTTGGTCAAGAGAGTGTTGATATTATCAACAACCGCTTTTTGCCTGTCCACCTCCTTCTGCAGCCCAATATACATCATCAGCAACACGACGTTGACAACGACAGAAAGGACGCATACTGTCCCAACAGCCCACCCGACCCGAGATCCATGTCCATGGCAACCAGATGCGCTCTTTTCTGTTTCCTTGACAACGGAGCCGGATGTCTTCCGGGAAATATGAAAAGCCACATATTTGGATTCCATGACGGAAGTGATGCGGGTGCGGTGATTCCCCCTGTACAGATGCAGACCACATGGACAAGACAGACTTGAGACTGCATAAATATGGGAGGACCCTAATGAACGTATCGGCCATTCACAGCTCTGTGCTGGAGGGCGTGGCTGTGAGGAGAGCATTCAATGCCTCATCTCCAATAAGGGCGGGTAATATGTGGGCATTGTTTGAATTGATTTGACACCCATTTCTTGGAAGTACATGTTTCTTCCAAGGAAGACAGGCGCATGTCCTAGTTAGCGATCATTTCTCGCACTAAACAGGTCATGGTCACAGGACTACTACGGCAGGATCGGGAGAGTTGTGTGTGTCCATGAGCCGGAACAGCCACCCCGGGGGAGTATTGACAGTGACGGAACAGCCACCCCGGGGGAGTATTGACAGTGACGGAACAGCCACCCCGGGGGAGTATTGACAGTGCATGACGCGTGGCTTCACATACTGAGGCTTGCAATTGTTGATAATGATGAATGCTTCCTAGTGTGGTTGCAATAAGTACATGAAGGTCGGTTAGGAGCGTAGGTCAGGTGGGTACAGAGTTTCGAATCCGGTTTCATTGCTCTATGCAATGCTCAATTCAAGGCCAGCGTTATAATTGGTCAACGCTTCGCTTCCCTGAGTGATACGTACAAATAGAAAGTAGCACAGTTGTTGGTGTGTTTCACAGCTTTACAAACACTGGGGTTGGTTCTATATGTCTAGAGACTGAGTACTCCCAGAAATGTATCCCTGCACTGCTACCAATGCTAGCTCCCTGCAGCTCTGAAGACATTGCGGTCGTCACGCGTTCCGTCAGCTGTAGTCAGTTCGGTGACAACATGGTCAACTCGGACAGTCGAGCATACAATCCAGTGACCCTGTCCGACACTCTCGCGAACACCCTTCCTTGTCTTCAATCTCCGTGTGTTGCCGTCACAACGGAAGGCTATATTCACATATTTTTTGTGGAATTGATATTAGATATGTGTGTAAATTAGCTATGTTCTTGTTTATGTGCCAGGCGTTTATGCTTACTTTAAAGACACATTCCATCCATACGAGAAATGATTGTAATTTTTTAAATAACATAGAATTATTATGAAGTGAAAACTAAAACTAGAAATATTATAAAGCGTGTATTTTAGTGCATCAGTTACACTGAAATAATGTGGATTTCTAATGAAGCGGGTGCACTATAATTGAGGATTAATGCATTTTTAAGAGTATATTGTGGATAATTAAATAACATGGTCTTCATATGAAGTACATAGATCATAATTAATCCAACTTCTTCAAGTGGCATTTGCAAGCTGGTATGATGAAGGGGAGCGCTATTATGGATAGACAACTTTATTGCAATAGATGCGACGTTTTGTTGAAGATATTGACACCGTAGCCGTCATCAAGCATATGATATACAATATTATACACAGGGAGAATATATACCAGAAGGGTATTTGAGTTTATACAATTGACGAGGTTGATGTACAGTGTGATCAAATTACTTATGCTTGTAAACTGAGTTCTTAATCAACTGGGATATCATTTATAAGAAGTGCATAGGTCATAATTAATTCATTAATTAATATAGCATTCTTATTAACTGCATCAGCATAAGATTAAACCACATTGTGTCATTATGAAGTATATAGTTTATGATTTTTTTCATTAATCACGTTCTTGTGAAGTAAAGTCCCTGTTGGAAAACGAAGTTCTATGGATAGTCAACCTCTTTATTGCAATGAGCGCGACGTTTCGGTGTAGGTACTAACACCGTTATCAAGCACTTGATAACAAGTGCTTGATAACGATGTTAGTACCTACACAATAAAGAAGCTGACTATCCATAGAACTTGGTTTTCCTTCATCTATGCAACTTCTGACTAAAATGTATAGTGAAAAATCTAAATGACATTACTTTCGTTTGAACCTCATAGTTTATAATTCAGTTTTGCTTTGATTTGGGTAAAATGAAATTGGAGTGCGTTGAATAGTGTGCATAGTTTATACTTAATACACTTAAGCTACCGGACAAAATAAAGTTTGAACCCAAAGCAGAAAATATTCGCCAAAACGCAACATGGTGACAGGTGTCCGAAAACTTCGTACGAATCGTGCATGTTTCAAAACGTAACTTTGGGACACTGGGATTGTGGCAAAACCAAAACCCATCCACGAATATGTCAAGACTTACACAAGCGCAACGAGACAGGGCGATCGTTATGGCCTTTATGGGGACTTCACAACGTCAGCTGGCAAGAACCTTCAACTGTCGCAGGTTCTCAATCAGCAAATTGCTAAACCGCTACCACCAAATTTAAACAGGCCAGGCCCAAGACCGCTGAAGATCGGGAAGACCAAGAGTCACGGCAACGACCGAAGACCGCTACATCCGGCAGATCCACCTCCGGAACAGATTCCTGACGTCGACGTCAACGGCGGCGATAGCACTAGGACACGCTATCAGCAGACGAAGTCCTTCGGCGTCTCGGTACAGCCCCTTCCGGGGCATGGCCTTGACTCGTCTACACCGTCAACGCAGACTGCAATGGGCACAAACTGTACGTTGGTGGCAGCGACGTGACTGGGAGAGAGTGCTCTATACAGATGAAAGTCGGTTCAGTCGGTTCAGAAACGATGGCAGAGTTCGAGTTTTTCGATTTAGAAGAGAGCGACTGGCGCCAAACTGAAGTGTCCTCTATTCGACAACAGCCAGAGTTGTTCGAGAACACTAGAACAACGTTAACATCAGCGTCTTGCTCTGGCCAGCGCGTTCTCCAGACATGAACCCCAGTGAACATCTCTGACGTCTTCCGTCGACTGACTGGGTGGTCACAGGGTGGTCACAGACGCTATTGATGACGTCTCCCTGACTCCTGTTTTATTTTGTGACTTTTTGCGTACTTTGTGAATGAACTCTGATTTGTGTAATTTTGACCTCTTGACTCTTTCTTAATGAGTGAGTCAGTGACTATGGTTTTACGCCGCTTTTAGCCTTATTCCAGCAATATCACGGCGGGGGACACCAGAAATGGGCTTCACACATCTCACTCATGTGGGGAATCGAACCCGGCGTGACGAGCGAACGCTTTAACCACTAGGCTACCCCACCGTCCCCTCTTTCTTAATGAATTGCGACGAATGCAAGATCAGCTTTACAATGAATTTTCCCCTCAAATTGTAGGTAAATGAGTTCTGTTTGAAATAAAAAAGAATTCAATCTCACATACGTCTTTGTTTCTATCTTTTGGTCAAGTGAAGTATTCTTCTTTTTTGGGGTGGGGGGGGGGATAACTTTCTTTGGCCTGGTATATTTATTTATATGCCAGTGTAATTGTGTAAAATTCAAACTAATAGATATGTATTCATGTGAAGCGTTTATAACTAAATCCAATTGTGTTCATACTTGCATATTTGGTGCATTTTAGGCCTGTGTTCATGTAAATTACAAAATGCAGAATTACATTTTGAAAAGAAATAATACTTCTCATGAGTTGCATATTTAGGCTCAAGTTATATTGTGTCTTACTTTACCGCATCGTGCATAAATATACTAACTGAAAAAAGTAACTGTGCATAAAATAAAATTGCATCAAATAAAAGTTATTTGAAAAGTTATAAAAAGAACCTTAAATACAAAGTGGGGAATCGAACACGGGTGCTCGGCGTGAGAAGCAAGTGCTTTAACCACCCGATTACCCAAAGTCTCACACTGACACCAACAGAAGTGTATTCAGGTGACATCCCGACCGTGTATGTGTGTGTGCGTGTCAGAGGAGAGTGTCAGAGGTGTCAGAGGAGAGTGTCAGAGGAGAGTGTCAGAGCCGGGGCACACGTTGTCCGACCCTCTGGATTAGAAGTACACACTTTCGATGGAGAACCACATCATACAGTTGAAACTTAATGAAAAGTTTTCGTAAAATTAAAGTAAAAAACAGCCATTGATGACAAGCAGATGACAACGATTGCTACCTCGCCTTTAATGAGCCATCAGGCGTGCTGTGCATATTACCATATTACACTGCGTATATTACATATACATGTATTGGTGAACAATCAGTTCAAATGAAAGGACAGTCCCGTCAGAAAGAACGTTCTTACATCTATGAATTAGTTGGCTCTTCGCCAACGAAAACAAATAAATGACCGAGTATTTGTGAGACTGAATACCCATGATGGATAGTTCATACCTTAATGTATGACCGAGGTTTCTAGGTACTTCCACCCGACATATGTCGCTATAGAGCTACCGCTTTTACCACGGGGCCCTGTACACTGTAGACTTGCTTCCCTCTTGTGGTAAGGGTCGGAAACTAAGGACAGTAAATAGGTGGTGACCTTGTAACCTACACAATAGCCCACTGAAGAAAGGTGAGGTGAGGTGAAATTGGGTTTAACGTCGTACTTCAGAATATTGACGTCATATGACGACGTGCATGTGTGTGCATGTGTATGTTCGGCTGCTTGTACTAGCCCAGACTTAAGCTGGGTTTATACTGCTAGCCCACTTAGATACCATGCCGCAGTGAAGCATGAATACCCCACTCAGACACATTATACTGACTCCGACCAGTCCTTGTTGTACCCATTAATGCCGAGCGCCAGGCAGGGCAAGTACCATATTTTAACGTCTTTTGGTATGACTCGGACGGGGATCGAACCCGCCACCTTCCGCCCTCCGGGCGGACACTCTAACCACTACACCACGGAGGCGGTCCCACTGAAGAAAGCCAAAGGAAGAATTTTATTTACGTTACCAATAAGTGCATGCACGGTAGCGTTTAGAGCAGAACCTTAAAATGTGAAACCTACTCTGTTTCACAGTCCCTGAACCGCATCAGCTTTCCTTCTGTCTCGCCCTCTCTGCAATGCTAAAGCATAATGACGACAATGAAGCAAGTCTAGTTCTGAATCTCCCTGCTAACTGGGGCTCCTTTTCAAATTAAAAGGAATTGTTTTTTTCTTTCAAACTTATATGTATTCAGAGACTAAGTGTTAGTCTAAGCGTGAAGAGTTTGGACTGGAGAGTTCAGAGTGGAAGGTTTAGAAAGAATCTGGAGATTGGAACTTTTAGAACAGTGAAGGTTTAGAAAGCGGCATTTGGAGCGGAGAGGTTAGAGAGGAGTTTTAGATCAGATT